CTAACCCTTAACTGTACCCCACAATATCATAATAAAAAATATTGATTATAAAAAAAACTACAAAATAATGCTGAAACAAATTAAAGAAGAAGCTGAGTGCTGTGACTCACACCTGTAATCCCAGCACTTTGGGAGGGGAGGCAAGAGGATTGCCTGAGCCCAGGAGTTTGAGACCAGCCTGGACAACTTGGTAAGACCTTGCCTGTACAATAAATCAAAAAAAGAAAAGAAAAGAAAAGAACAAAAGAACAAAAGAAAGAAAAAAAATTAGCCAAATGTAGTGGCGCATGCCTGTGGTTCTAGCTACTTGGAAAGCTGAGGTGGAGGGATCGTTTGAGCCCAGCGGGTCAAGGCTGTGGTGACCATGATCGTGCCACTGCACTCCAGCCTGGGCCACAGAGTGAGACTCTGACTAAAATAAATAAATAAATAAATAAATAAAGAAAAAACAGATAAATGAAAAGACTTTCTGAATTCATGGATTATAAGACTTAATACCATTAAGATGTCAATACTCACCCATCTGACTTTATAGATTTTTTTTTTTTTTGAGTTGGAGTCCCATTCTGTTGCCCAGGCTGGAGTGCAGTGGCACACTCATGGCTAACCCAGCATCGACCTGCTGGGTTCCGGCGATCCTTCTGCCTCAGCCTTCCAAGTAGCTGGAACTTTATAGATTTAATAGGATGTCTATAGTAGTTCAATGGCAGTTTTTGCAGAAATAGAGAATTTATCTTAAAATTTATATTAAATCCCAAAGGACTTGGAATAGCCAAAAACATCTTAAAAAAGAATTACAAGTTGGAGGTTTCACATGTCCAGATTTCAAACTTTCCACAGTGCTACAGTAATCAAAATAGTGTCATCCTGACATTTAAAAATACATATGTAGGCTAGGCTCAATGGCTCACACCTGAAATTCCAGTACTTTGAGAGACTAAGGCAAGAAGATTGCTTGAGCTCAGCTGTTGAAGACTAGCCTGGGCAACATAACAAGACTTCATCTCTATTAAACAAACAAACAAATAAGAAAAGAAAGAAAAAAAGACATACGGCCAGATGTGGTAGCTCACACTTCTAATCCCAGTTTTTTGAGAGGCTGAGGCAAGAAGATTGCTTGATCCCAGGCGTTCAAACCTAGACACAGAGCGAGACCTCATCTCTACTAAAACATATATATATATATAGGTGGAGCATGGTAGTGTTACTTGGGAGGCTGAGGTGGAAGGATCGCCTGAGCCCAGGAGTTTGAGGCTGCAGTGAGCCGTGATTGTGCCACTGCACTCCAGCTTGGGTGATAGAGTGAGACCCTGACTCAGGAAAAAGATAAAGACTGAAGGATGAAAATAGAGGTTGCAGAAATAAACACTCACATGTAGTAGAGAATTTTCAGCACAGCTGCCAAGACCATCCAATAGGGAAAGGGCAGTCTTTTTAATCAATGGTATTAGGAAAACTGGTAAAAAAAAAAAATGAAGTGTGTCTGTTGCCTTACAGTATGGATGAAAGACCTAAACACATAACCTAAAATTATAAAACTGCAAGAAGAACATGGTGGGGGGAACCCTCATGACCTTGAGTTTGGCAATGATTTCTGAATATAGCATAAAAAGCACAGGCAAGCCGGGCTCGGTGGCTCAGCCTGTAATCCCGTGCCTTTGGGAGGCTGAGGTGAGTGGATTACCTGAGCCTGCAGGTTCGAGACCCGCCTGGGCAGTGAGACCTCATCTCTACAATAAATCAAAAAGTCAGCCGGGCATGGTAGCGCATGCCTGTAATTCCGGCTACTTGGAAGGCTGAGGCGGAAGGATCACCGGAGCCCAGCAGGTCGAGGTTGCGGTGGCCGGGAGCGGCCACTGCACTCCAGTTTGGGCGACAGAGTGAGACTCCAACTCGAAAAAAAAAAAAAAAAAAAGCACAGGCAACAAAAGTAAACATACATAAATTGGACTAGCCCCCAAATTAAAAAGTTCTGTTTATCAAAGAACAAAATTAATAAAGTGAAAAGCAAGCAATAGAATGTGGAAAATATTTGTAAATCATACATCTTATAAAGGGTTAACAACACTAATATATAAAGATCTCCTACAGTTCAAGAACAACAACAAAATAAACTGATTTAAAAATGGGCAAAGGATTTACATAGATATCTCTCCAAAAAAGATCTACAAATGATCAATAAACATGGAAAATGGAAGCATAGCATTAATCATCAGAGAATTGCAAATCAAAACCACAATGAGATACCCCCTCACACTCATCATGACGGCCACTCTTTAAAAAGCCAGGAAAACAAGTATTGGGGTGAAGATATGGAGAAATTTGAAATCTTATGCAGTATTGGCGAGAATCTGTGAAAATGGTATTGTGATTTTCTTAACAATTTAATGTAAAAATGCCAAGTGATTCAACAATTCCACTTCTGGGCATATATCCCCCAAAATAAAAGCAGGGTCTTGAAGAGACAGTTGTACACTCATGTTCATAGAAATGCTAATCACAAGAGCCAAAAGGTGGAATGGATAAATAAAATATGGGTTTTTTATTTCCTACATACAATGAAAGATGATTCAGTTTTTAGAAGAAGGACAATTTAAAAAGAAAGAAAATCCTGCTGGGTGCAGTGGATTACGCCTGTAATCCCACCAATTTGGGAGGCTGAGGTGAGAGGATTACCTGAGCCCAAAGCTTCAAGACCAGCCTGAGCAACATAGTGAGACCTCATCTCTACAATAAATAAAAAAATTAGCTGGGCGTGGTGGCGCATGTCTGTGGTTCCAGCTACTTGTAAGGCTGAGGCAGAAGGATCACCTGAACTCTGCAGGTTGAGACTGCAGTGGCTGTGAGCGTGCCACTGCACTCCAGCCCGGGCGACAGAGTGAGACTCTGACTCAATAATAATAATAATAATAATAGAAAAAGAAAGAAGATTCTAACACACACGCTACAACATGAATGAACCTTGAAGCCATTATGCTAAGAGAAATAAGCCAGTCACAGAAGGAAAAATACTATATGATTCCACTTGTAAGAGGTACCTAGAGTGATCAAATCACACAGACGGAAAGTAGAATGACAGCTGTCAGGGTTAGGGATGGGAGATGGGGAGTTATTGTTTAATGAGCACAGTATGTCAGTTTTTTTTTGTTTTTGTTTTTGTTTTTGAGTTGGAGTCTCACTCTGCTGCCCAGACTGGAGTGCAGTGGCCGCTCCCAGCCACCACAGCCTCGACCTGCTGGGCTCCGGCGATCCTTCCGCCTCAGGCTTCCGAGTAGCCGGAATTACAGGCGCGCGCTACCACGCCCAGCTGATTTTTTGATTTATTGTAGAGATGAGGTCTCGCTGCCCAGTTGGGTCTCGAACCCGCGGGCTCAGGCAATCCACCCACCTCAGCCTCCCAAAGGCACGGGATTATAGGCTGAGCCACCGAGCCCGGCTTGTATGTCAGTTTGGGAGGAGGAAAAGAGTTCTGTGGACGGATTCGAGTGATGGGAGCACTTGGATGTGCTTAATGCCACTGAATTGTACACTTAGAAATGGTTAAGTTGGTAAATTTTATGTGGCATGTGTTTTACCAAAAATGGAAAGAAAAGGCTAGTACTCTTACTCTCTCTATACATACTTTATTTCTGGCACTGCACCTTCCCTCCCAAGTAGAGACCCTGAGGGTGACTCTCCTGAGCGTCACTTGTCCTCTGTGCTGGACCCCATGTGCTGCATCCACAGCCTCTTACAGCTGGTGACTTAGAGCCAGGACACAGCTCAGGAGTCTGCTATGAGGCTCACCCTCTTCCCACTTCCCTGCAGGCTGACTTGAGGGAGGCTCTGGCAATGATTTGTGGCTTGATTTAGCCAGATTTAGGACAGGTCACCTGGGCACCTTCTCCACAAGCCCCAGCTGGAGTCAGGGCAGAGCCAGCTACCAGGCAAGCCCCAGAGAATGATCTAGAATCCCAGGAATGGTCTAGAAAGAGGAAGGGAGACAGATAGGATCTGGTAGCTTTGGAGTAGAAACATGTTTCCTGTCCCCGGTCTTGGTGTCCCTTCTCTCCCTGCAGAGGGCAGGTGAAGACCCTGTGGATCTTTCTGGAAATACTTGTGGTTGTTTCTAAATGCAGAACTGATAGGTGGGAAGAGGGACCCATGGACCGTGTGTGTTGGGCAGATATGAAATAGAAATGTGAGAAGCAGGACCAGGAGCAGTGGCTCAAACCTGTAATCACAGCACTTTGGGAGGCCGAGGCGAGAGGATTGCTTGAGACCAGGGGATCAAGAACAGCCTGGGCAACTTGGCAAGGCCTCGTTTCAACAAAAGATAAAAAAATTAGCTGAGTGTGGTGGCGTGTGCCTGTGGTTTCAGCTACTTGGAAGACTGAGGCGGAAGGATCATCTGAGCCCAGCAGATTGAGGCTGTGGCCACTGCACTTTAGCCTGGGTAACAGAGTGAGACTGACTCAAAAAAAGAAAAAAAAGGGAAAATAAATGTGAGGGGCAGCTAATTTTCTTCATATGTGAAGATTGTTTTCAATACTTAATGGTCTGGTGCCATTTTATGGAAGAAACACTTCTCTAGAAAAGAGTAAAAAGTTTGAGACCTGGAGGGACAGGGAATGTGTGTGGCCAGAATTCCTAAATACCTGCAACTTGATTCCAACCTCTGACGAGGCTCGCTCATTTGTTCATTCATTAATTCATTCCCTTCTTCCTCAGAGAACTACTGAGAGTGTGTCTAACACTGGGCCCTGTGCTGGTGCAGGGTGTGAGGAGGGAGGGCCACGGACACATCAGGAAACAAATGATTTCAAGTCCAGTGAGCGGGTGGGTCTGAGTGGGGAGCCCTGGCCATTCCCAGCACTGACTGATTGTCGAGGCGGGTAATTTGGTTCTAAGTAAAAATGAATACATTGCCCATTTGCTCTTACTTCTCTGAGATTTGGATGTCTAGGAAAAAAGATTTGAGCTAATGGGTGATCCTGGGGTCATGGAACCTAGGGAGCTGCCTCTTCTGGTCGAGGAGAGGACAGGGTCGTGGTTACAGACAGGTCTATGTGACCTTGACCTGGTACTTGTGTTTATGTGATCCTGGTTCCATGGCTGTATTTTTCTGTACCTCAATCTTCCTTCAATAAAGTAAGATAAATGATATTTGGCTACCACGTTGTCTATGAGTTAGTCTTCAGTCATTCCCAGTTACCTGACCTAAAGCTTGGCACAGAGGAGATGCTCAAATGACAGCATCTATTATTATTTTCCTGCATAAGAGAATTCTCTTGTCTTGATCTTGATTTCTGGTGGAGCTGCCAGGAATCCTCTCCCTCCTCTGTTTCTCCTGCTGGAGACACTGACCTCCCTGGGACATCTAAGTTGCTATTCAGTCAGCTAATGCCATAGGGAGCTTGCTGCCTCCTCTCCACGCTGAGTCTCAGGTACAGGACAAGGCTCTGTCCATGCCCAGATAAGGCACTGGGGGCTGAGCACTGGCTGGTGACCAGCTCCAGGAGCTACAGCCCTCAGACAGTTGGTAAATCATTACTTCCAGTCAGCCCTGCCCAGAAGGCCAGAACCCAGCCCCGGACAAAGGCTCCCCAGGGTCACCTGGAGTCAGAAATCTGAGACAGGGGTCTGGGGCAGGAGCTTCCAGGGCTGAGCTCCTCTGTGAGGATTCCAGAAGGTCCCCTGGGCCAGACCCTGACAGGATCCTATAGGGTCATGTTCATGGGGCGGGCCCAGCGGGGGGGGTTCCCCTGCTGAGTTTCCCATCAGACTATCCCTCTTCTGCAGCGAATGTCTAGAGGGTCTGAATGGGAAAGGAATTCTGATCTTCTGAGGTTTACCTCCCCTTTGTGTGTCCTACACTAAATACTCAAACTCCACCATGGGACATAATACAGAGGGGGGCACAGGCACAGTCCAGGCCTGATGGTCCCATGTGTGTGAAGCAGGACTAACCCCCCAACACCCAGAGGTTATGGAGGAACCACTTACGGTGCACGTGGAACTGGCCAGTTGCTTGGTAGGTCTGAAGCATTCTATTTGTGATGTGTAAGGTATAGTATCCCGTGTCCTCTTGGGTGACATTCTGGAACAGCAGGGATCCATTGGGGTATATTGTCTCTCGACCACTGTGCGCAGGCCCCAGGACATGTACTTGAGTGGATATCACATATGCTACAATCCGATTGCTGGCCTCCACCCCTTCTCCTTTGTACCACACATAGCCAGCAACATTCTGTGGCAGATTGTGGACAAGTAGAAGAACATCCTTCCCCTCTGCAACATTGAACGGCACGGATTCCACCATAACTTGGGCAGTGGTGGGCGGGTTCCAGAAGGTTAAAAGTGAGGCTGGGAAGGAGGAGAGAGAATCAGTCACTATTGGGACCTGTGTATTGGGATGGAAAGATGGGGTCTGAGTCCTGAGCAGGTCTCTTCACCCCTCAGCCTTAGGGTCTGTGTGTGTGTGTGTGTGTGTGTGTGTGTGTGTGCCGCGCGCGTGTGTCCTACTGGGCCAAGGTTAGCACCATGACCCTCATTCCTTCAGCACCTCTGCCTAGTCATCTCCCTTGTTTGGAATACTCTTCCCCAGGTGTCTGTAGGGTTCACTCCCCACTGCCCTCAGGTCCTGCTCACATCAGGGGCATCTTTGGCATCTTTGGGAGACCCTGGGTCTTCCTTCTCTGAACTTGCCTTGCTTTGTTCCCCTCATGGCACTTGTCAACCCTGACCTCACATTCGAGATCTCTTTTCTTGTCTTGTCTTCCTCTCCATGAGAATATGAGCTCCATGAGGTCAGGGACTTGGTTGTACCCCAGTGCCTGGGGCAGGCTGCAGACACCTGCGGATGCATTATGAGAGTTCTCAGGGCTCTCCATGTCCTGGTGTTCATTTGCCAGTCTCCAGGGTAGGTGACTGAGGGCTCTGTTTCATGCTGCTGTGAAAAATGTATGCTGGGTATGTGACCCTGCAGTGGGGCTGGGGGTGGGAGGGGCAGGAACCGGCAGGACCCAAGATAGCTCAGATCAGAACACCCCCGCCCCCACCTCCACTAGAACTGTTGACAAGATTGTAGGGAAGGAAACAACTCCTTTACATACAGAATAAATAAACTAAGAAAGTACCAGATGACTTAACTTACTAATGGTGGTTTTTATCCTTTTTCCCTCTCTTTTTTCTCCTTTTTTTTTTTTTTTTTTTTTTTTTT